GGTTATTTTCGTGGTTATCCACAGATGAGAGGAGCGAGCCGGCATTTGCCGCAGACGTATCCTACAACCCGTGCCTACCTGCGAATAGTCGCGTGGATAACAGATGTAAATCTTTGCGGGGGAAAAACGAGGCTCTACCAATAGCACTACCCAACATGAGCACGGACAAGAGAAGTTGAATCGTTTACATATGTCATCATCATCGTCATCATCATCATCAGCAGCATCAATAGTCTATCCACTGCTGGACGAAAGAACCCTCAAGCTGCCTCCTGCTAATTTCAATGCTCCATCTCCATGGTGGACACAAACTCAGGCGCAATTCCCTTCTTTGGCTGTTACTCCGCCGTGACTCCTCCAAGCCAAGCCCGCTCTTCTTTATCGTAAACAAGCAAATATCTTTGAATAGGCGAGTGTGCAGATAATGGTCTACAGTAAGTGCGTTGTAAACAGACGCAGTATGTTCACTCTCTCCATGCATCGCATACGTACGTGCTACATAATATTAGATTATCCTGACTTAAAAGTGCGTGCTGCAGTGTAGTGGCCAGCTACAGGGGCCAGCGGGCATCAGAAGGCAAGAGCGCTGATCTCCAGCCAAGCCGTCGCACGCTCCTGGCAATTTTAATTCCTTTACCGTATGAGTCGATGGAAAATTCCATCTGTGGTTAGCAGTGACAGCACGCACACCGCTCGCTCTCCGAGCTGGGTCACCGACCGACCCAGAGAGGAGGAGGAGAGGGATAAACAACGACCAATCACGCGGCGCCCACAAGCAATCTAGTGGCGGGTCAAATGAGCATGTGCACAAATCATTCGCTCGCCAGTACGCTCGCTCCTTCCCCCATTCACTCACTCGCTCTGTTCTCTTATCCACTCGCTCATTCACTTGCTCCCTATCTCATTAATTTGCTCGCTCATTGGTCTCTTGCTCATGAATTAATTAGTCCATTAATGAATTAATTTGTTCAGTCCTTTGCGCACATGCTTCCTCGTTCGTGAACTCCATCATTCATTCATTCCTGCATGCATTTTTGTGCTCATTCATTTTTTTACTCATTCGTGTTCAATAGTTTGCTCACTCGTTCACTCACTCCCTCATTCATTTGCTCCACTAATTTATTTATAAGTGCCCACTTTCATTCACTCATTTATTAATATCCTACCTCATGCATGCTTTCATTCGCTAACACATTCACCCTTTCATAAGTAAATTAATTTGCTCATTTAATCCTTACATTTGCTCCGACGGTTATTCACTCGTTCATTCATTCCCTCAGTTGCTCACTTTTCTCCATAACTCATTCGCTCCCTCAAATGTATCTCTTCCCCAATCAGTCCTTTTATTTGGCCCACTTCATTCGTCCGTTGGATGCGGTTCTGACGATTGGTCTTCTCTGGGTTGCTTTTGACAGCGGCCAATAGTTCAGTCCCTGAGGGCCCACCGTGCATACATCGGGAGGAGCCACATCAATTCGTCGCAACGTCGGCGCACACTTCTCACAGACAAAATGCAGTTGAATCGTGTTGCCCATTTGTGTCTGACGAAAAATACACTTTTATTTACCCGTGGGGAAAATAAAAAAATATCTCAATGGGTATCGAGAATCATTTGCGGGAGGCTCCCGCCGCGTTTTCCGTGACGTTTGGCCAATTCTGTCGTACGCCAAGCCAACGATGTTTGCAAAGTCACATTTATTTATCCTACAATACCGCCAAATTTTTAGAAAAATGCCTCATTAAAATGCGACATGCTGCTCGCGTTCCTTGAACCTGTGATGATGGTCATTGTTACCGTCATTACCATCACCATGCTCAACAATGCTATCGTCATCATCCTAACCTATTACCATATAAGAGCTCCTTCTCCAGCCAGCACCTGGCTCGAATCAGCTCCCACTGGTTGCTGTCAATTCGACATTCTCCTGCAAGGTCATGTCAAGGTAACTGGAGAATTTCATTTTCAAATCCACATTTACAAAACGCACTGTTTGTTTGCCTGCCCAGTTCTACCTTCATTCTTTTTTGTTGTTGTTGGATACAACCTCTTTGATCTTTACCTGCGTATCGATAGTAAAATGTTCATGCGCAATTGAATTGTGGGACTGTGTGCTATCTTGGTGTGGTGTGGGACTGTTTTTGTTGCTGTTGTTGTGACGCCTAGCCCAAGCTTGCATTTGGCACTGAAATATTGGCAGCAATTTATGTACTTAATTTTTCTATTATCTGTTGTTGTAAATGTTGCTGACCCCGTGCCCCTACCGGGAATCTGTGAAAAAAAGAGCTTCATAGCTCATCGGATTCCTCCTCCAGTCTAAATAAAATATTTTTATTCTGATCTAGTTTGACGTGACCCAAGGGGAACCTCCTCTTGTGTGATCCCCATCGCCGGCGAGCGACGCTGGCTCGGGCGCGCTCCGCCTCGCTCGCCCGACCGCTCTGCTAAGAGCCGTCCGGTCTGCCCTGACCTCTCAGGCTCTCACGGAGTCCATCTGCTCGCCAAGTCGCGACTTGGATGGCGAAAAAATCAAATCTGAAGAAATTCATGGCCGCGAGGGGGGACGGCCAATCGGTTTTCCTTCCCCCCTCACGGACCCTCGAGGTGTCGAGCTTTATTTGCAACAAAGGACGCAGCCAAATGAATAAAAATGCGGGGGTCTTTTTTTTCTTTCCCCAAGTCGCCCTGCGCCGCGACTTTCTTGTTTTCGCAGCTGCCGTCTCGCCGCGTAAATTTATCAGCTGCTTTTTTCAAACTGCTTTTTCAAGCCGCGGCGATCGCTATTCCGCATTCACGAGCTCTGCAGCTGCGAAAGGACTGAACGTGTCTCTTCATAACGCTTAGCAGAAACAGCCGCATGAGAGCACTTGAGCAAAGAAATATCATTTTTTTAAATTGCGTGCATCAGACATTTTTTATAAATGAAAAATAAATAATCGACGCCAATAATAGTAACACCAGAGTGTACCTTTCCATTATTAGACATTTTCCTTCACACGATCCCTCCAATAAACACGTCAGAGACGACAGCGACAGCAGCAGCCTTCTCATCTCTCACTAATAAACGCTGCCTGTCAGGGTGCGGCTTGTTGCACGGACCAACAAAAGGCAAAAAAAAAACCCCGACAGATCCGCTCTAATCTGCAGGAAAATCCCTCTCCTACCTTACAGGGACCTCCCAAGGACATGCACCCCCATAAACGCAGCTGCCAGAGTTTATTAACTGGGTGAGAAAAAACAAATTGGGCGCAGAGCAGATTATTGGCCCTAATCTCTTATCGCTCGCTGCGGTTTTATCGGCGGCGGGGCATGCCCACGTTTTCACTGCGGAGGAACAAACCTCGCCCGACCCATAGAGGTGGTGGCCACAAAACACCGAATGACCGCTACGAGGGCTGCATTGTCATTGTTCAGCCTGCGCCAAGGCCCACGGTACAATGGGGGGGGGGGGGGGGGGTGTCTCGCGAACACAACGTGCGGCTGGTTCCGTGCGAAACAAAAAGAAAAACACAACCCCCACCACCCTCCCCTCCTGGCCTCCGCCAGGCCACATCGTCTTTTGTGCCCCCCCCGCACCCCGATTTCGCCGGGAGTCAATTTGATTCATGAAAGAACGCGTACCCTTGTCGCACCATCAATTCCACTTTGGAAGCGTGTCATAAACCATCGCATCCCGCAGCAATACCGCCGCGGCAGTTTACTCCGCTTGCTCGCGGGGGACCCCGGGGCCCCCACGGCGAATAACAGTGACCACGTGGAGACTTGAAAAAAAAATCTCCCGCGTATTTAATGGGGAGCGACATCAATTTGGCACGCTGCCCGCGGTAAAAAAAAATACGTCACCCCCCCCGCCCCCCACACACCGCCAACCAAATCGGTGTCAATCGGCGAACGGCACCTAACAGGCGCGACACCACCTGTGTCGCTACGGCGGGGTTATCGAGCGACACAGGGGGGTGGTGGGGGGAGGGTCGCGGGTGTCCAGACACCCCCCAAAGTGGTTATACATGGCCACGGGTCACCCTCACTAACCTTTGGACAAATACATGGTAATTTGAAAGTGCATTTTTTCGCTTTTCTTCGACAAACGCCGATCGATTATCTGATTTTGTTACCGAACAGAGGCTCTGCGCACAGTAGCACACGATCGGTGGCAGGTTCAGTACCGGGTCACGGACGCAATCAGTAACCGAACCAACAACCGGGAAGCATTCCCAAGAAGGGCGCCGCCAGCTTTCGAAGCGCGGCTGTGCCCCTGTGGAGGGGACCGGGTTGTTACGGTGGGGCTGGAGTATGGGGAGGACTGAACCATCCAGCGGTTGTCCCTTGAGGCCTAGGTGGCACAGAACATCGCCCGCTCCCACCCCCCGCATGACGGCTCAACACCGGGGGGTTCCTCGGGAGAGCCATTGCCGTCGGGTCTCGGCGTCGGCCGATTTCCCACGCCAGGACAAAAAACCACTCTGCACGGCTGCACGGTCGACGGCCGAGGGCGTGCGTTACCGCTCCGCCGAGCGAGGAGGCGAACTTGATCCACAGTACGGTTCAAGTGTCAGTGGGCAACCGCAGTTGACAGTGACGCCACCAAACCTTAAATCAAAGACGCTGGCAGTAGTACTGGTGTCACTACGCGGAGAGTTTTGAATAATGTAAGAACAACTGACAAAGAGTGGTTTTGTCACTTCAACGAGTGCATGAGGAGGCCCTCATCTCCCGTTTACAGCTTGGAGCTTGAAGACGAGACTTTGCGTCGAACAACTACTGTCGACCTCCCCGCAATGCGGTACTCGTTTCTATCAAACCTGGAGAACGTGAAGCCCATGAGTTGCTCGCTCGAACCACCAAACCACCCGGCTGAATCTGATCAGCACGTCGGACTGAACCAGCAACCTCCGGATTGCAAGCGCAGTGGCGAAAACCACAGCGCCCCCATACAGAAGCTGCTACGAATGTCGAGAAGCATAAACCTAGAGATGGCGTCATGCCGTGTAGTGTCCCTCACCTGTGGTCGCGTCTTGGCCGGGTCGACAGCACCGGCTCCACTGCCTCCAGTCTCTCCTGGGCGATGCTCCCCGGCCCCACGGTGGCACCCGCGCCACGCCGTCCTTTCCGATTACCGCTCTCACCTCCTCCTCCTCTTCCTCCTCCTCCTCTTCTTCCTCCTCTTCCTCCTCTTCCTCCTCATGCTCGTCAACCTCCTCTTCCTCTTCCTGCTCCTCCCGCTCCTCCTGCTCCTCCTGTTGCTCCTCGGCACCGAACCCCAGGCCGGGCGGCTCAGCCCGCGCGCTGCTCTGCAGGGCGCTCGCAAACAGGTTCTCGTATTTGCCATGAGAGTCTCTGCGGCTCACCGTTCCTCCTCCTCCTACACCGGCGGTGGTGGTGGCTGCGTACTTGCGCACACATTCGCCGATGGACGGCGCATCCACCGCACCGCCAAAGAACGACGGGCTCCGCTCAAACGGCCGTCTCAGAAACTCGACATCAGAAGTGCTGCTGCCCTTTCTCCGGCCCAGGACTGCAATTTTATTCTGCTCCAGGGTCCTCCACTGCCAGCTCCCTAAGCCCATCGATAAACGACTGAGCGGATGTTGTTGCTGCTGCTGTAGAGGTTGCGGCGGCTGCTGGTGTAGCTGCCGCTCGCCGAACTCGCCACCGCCCTGGAGTTGTCTCCGCTTCTTCTGCGCCAGCCGCTCGTCACGATGCATCCATTGGAAGGAGACCGCCTGGGCGCCAGCCTTGCCGCCGCAGCAGCGTGGCGACAGGGGCGAGGCTCCGGCTCCCGCCGGCTCCGCCGAGCAACCGCGCTCCTTCTGCTGCTTTCGGCCGCCACCCTCTGCCGTCGCGGCCGCCACTGCCGTTGGCGCCGTTGCCGTCGCTGCCGCGACCACCTGGCAGTGGACGGACGTCGCCGAAGGTGCCCACGAGTGGTGGGCTTGCGAAGGGTACCGCCCGTAGTAGCCAAAGTTGAGGTTGCTGGCGGTGAGGGTGGACGGGGCGTAGCGTAGCCCGAAGGTCGAACGGTACTGCTCGCCCAGGCACCGGTAGCCCGGGGAGAGCTGCGACTGCTCGCCGTACTTCTGTCCCCGGGATGCCGACCGGCCCTTCTTGCTCCTGGCCCTGTGCTCGCCCGCCGAGCGAGGGCCGCCACCGACGCCACCGCCGCCCCCGCTCAGGGCGTCGTGCATGCAGGGCAGCTGTCCGGGTGACCCGCCAAAGTTCAGGCGGAACAAGCTGGGCAGCAGGTCCCTGGCGGCACGCGGGGGGTGCTGCCTGCAGCTCACGCGGCACTCGCCGAGCTTCGAGACGACCTCTTCCAGCTCGGCGGCGAAGTCCGCATCGCGGTGCCTGCCGCGCTTTAGCTGCATCAGCCGCCGCTTGCGCTTGTGCCGCTGCTTGCGGGCGGCCGAGCGGCAACCCGGCCGGCACGACGGCGACGCGATGAGCGCCGGGCCCTCCGAGGACGACGCCACCGACCCACGGTCGAACGAGAAGCGCCGCGGCCCGAGCTGGCAAAGCTTCTCGGCGCGCTCTGATGTGCTGGTGTTGTCCGTGGCGATGCCGCTGTCGCTGGGGCTGGCCTCCTCGCTCGCCGGGGACGGCATCGTTTCGGAGAAGCGCGACGGCGAGCGCGTCGGGTAGGCCGGCTGCGGTGAGAACTTGAGGCCGGCGCTCTGCGCGCCCTGCTTGAGCATCGCCTTGGTGGCGATCGGCCTCCGTTGCACGTGCAGCTGCTGGTGGGCCTGCGGCTGCACCGCGGGACCGCCACGGCCGTATTCCTTGCCGCCCGCGCCGCACGTGCCGGGACTCGAAGATTGCGACATTGACGGCGGCAGCAGCGGCGGCGGGGGTGGCGGTGGAGGTGGGCGGACGGCGGGCGAGAGCAATGGAGGGGGCGGCCCCGACGGCCCGCGCTGAAAGGCAACGGGAAAGCCGAGGCCGTACGAGGCCTGGAACAGGTTGCGGCCAGAGAAGGCGCCGGAGGACGGCTGTGGCGGATCCGCCTTGGGCTTGCGACCCCTCTTCTTGCCCACGTAAATGGTACCGCGCTTGCTCACGTGGATCTGCTGGCACTGCCGGGCGCCGACCGGGGCGGCGATGGGGCACGGTTTCTTGCTGACCTCGCCCAACCTCACCTTCGACTTTCCCCTCTTGGCCTTGCCCGAGCTCGACAGAATCTGATTGAGGATTTTCTTCCTCTTGAGCGTTTTCATTTTGTTAATTTTCGTCAGCACGGTGCGATTGTGCAGCAGCTCGCCGAGCGCCTCGCCCTGGCCACCTCCCGCCTTCTGCCGAGCCACCTTCTTGTGACACCCGTCGGCTGGCGCCGCCTTCAGTTTGAACCCCGCCATCAGCGGGGCGCACGCCATCACCGCCGCCGGAGCGCCCGCGTCGCACACGGACAGCTTCCTGGGCCGGCCGGGGCCCCTCTTGACGGGGACCCTCACCGTGAGGCCCGCCGTGTTGGAGTAGAGGGGGCCGCCGAGGGCCAGGGTGTCGTAGGGCTGCAGGATCACCTCCCGCTCGGGTGCCGCTTTGGATTTGGGCGACGACGGCGGCCAGTCCGACGCGGCGCTCTCGTCCGAGGGGGCCTTCTTTAAGTGCTTCGTTTGCGGGCGGCCCCTCTTTGGCTTGCAGAGTTGGTGGCTGCCGCTGAACGTGCCCTGCAGCAGGTCCTTCACTTTGCTCTTCCCGAAGACGGACCTCGCCGCTTTGTTCTTCATCCCCATGAATAAAGTGCTTCTCCCCACCTTCTGCTTGAATGGCAGCAGCTCATGGCCGACTCGCTTGAGCTTCGGCTTCATTGCCTTGCTCTCGGGCCACGCGTCGTCTTCCTCCTCCTCGTCCTCCTCGTCGTCCTCCTCCTCCTCCTCGTCGTCATCGTCGTCTTCATCGTCGTCGTCGCCGGCTACGGAAGAGGCCGCCGCGGCGGCAGCAGCGGCGGCGGCGCGGTCGAGGGCCGCCGGCTTCCCGTGCGCCGCCACCGCCACCACCGCCGCGGCACCGCCCCGGCACCGCCCGCTGCTCCTGCGGTGCGCGTCCACCTCGTGCACCGGCGTCAGCACGGGTGGCTCCAGCGGGCGGTTGTCGGATGCATCGCGGCCGGCCTCCGTCTCGATCACCGTCAGCTTTGGCGGTTTGCCCTTTTTCCGCTTGGCCACGCAGCCCGAGTCGTGGGGGTCCGGTTCCGAGGCCTCGGCGCTCAGCTGCGTGGCGGAGGCCGACGGCTGGCTCTCCATCGGCGAGCCGCACGCCCACGACGGGGAGGAGCCCACGGCAGGGCTGTTGGCGCTGGGCAGGGAGCCGCTGCACGCCGCGCGGCGCGTGTCCCGGGCCGACTCGGCCTCCCCGCCCAGCATCGACGACACCTGCGACTCGCCCAGCGGCGAGTACGAGCGCGGGCCGTCCACGCGCGCCGCCTTCGAGAAGCCGAACGGCGCGAGGCCGTCCTTCGGCGGCGTGTCGTCCTCCTCGTACGGCATCTCCGCGTACTTCCCGTACGCGAAGCCGGCGGCCGAGGCACCAGTGGCGCCGTCCGGCCCGGGCGCGTCCTCGGAAGCCGCGTCCTCGGCGGGCTCCGCCACCGTCGCGCCGTCGGTGCCGCCGTCGCCGTCGTCCTCATCGGCGTCGTCCAGGCGAGCGGGGCATGCCGCACCTCTGGGAAAATCGTCTGCAGAGCACGGTGCCGGCGGCGGGGGTGGCGGTGCGCACACCGCCGCGAGTTTCGTGGCGAGCCCGTCCTCGCCAATGCCGCCACCCTCCGCCAACGGGCCGTCCATCCCGACCCCGGGCTCGTCCTGCACGTCCCTTTCTGGCTTTTGGAACGCCGCCGCCACCACACGCTCCAAGCTCTTCGACTGCCCCATTTCGGCGCGCAGGTCCTCGATGCTGCGCAGGCTCAGCTCGATCTTGCCGTCGCTGTCGAAGTCGCTGTCCTCCTCGTCCAGCGACTCGGACATCATCTCGCGGTAGGCCCTGCTGTGGAAGCCGTTGTTGATGATGTCCGCGTTCAGCTCCACCGCATCCAGCTTGTCGTCGGCCGACGCGGCGTCGTGCAGCCCCACGAGCGACTCGATGGGATCCATGCCCGGCAGGGTGTCGGCGTCGCCCGCCCGGTACGCCGCCGCGGCGATGTCGGCCAGACCGCCGTCCGCGAGGTACGAGGCCATCATCGCGTCATCCCCGTGGCCCGCGCACGGCGACGCGCCCGGCGACGGGACCCCTTGGGGCGAGGCCCGTGCCCCGAAGCCGGGGAGGAGATCGGCATCGTGGTAGAAGGCACTGCCGGGCTCCTTCCAGCCGAGCGCCGCGGGCTCTGCCACTCCCGAAGCTTCCACGGCGTCTGCGGACTGCGGCGTCACAAGGCACTCGATTTGCGAGATGTGCGTCTCCGATGCGGTGGCGGTAGTGGTGGCGGTGGTGGTCGCGGCCACCGCCGCTGCTGCTGCCGCCGCCGCCTTCGCTTCTGCGAAACCGCGGGGCTCCTCCGAGGCTCTGTGGGAAACGGCTCTCTCCTCCGCTTGTTTTTGCAACTTGATCCTGACTCTATTAACGGACAGGGGGGTGGGTGGTGGGGAGTGTAAAGAGAGGGAGAGAGCAGGAGAGAGGGATACAGCGGGAGGAGAGGGCAAAAAAGAGACGTTAGAGCGAGAGTACGTCTGCATTTCGCTTGTCAGCTACACACTGTGAAACCGCACGGTAAGAACAGCTACTTCGCTCCTTTATTTAAGAGACTCGCAAAGCTTTGTATCCCTGAAAGCTCTTAAAAGACCATCATCTCGGAGCCAAGGTGAATTGCGTCGTGGTTTTTTTCTTCTCCTCCCCGGCCGAATTGCGGCCAAGGGAAACAAAGGGGACTGTTAGATCGTGCCAATGAGACATCGTTAAAATTCCATCCCGCCCTTCGGCGTGGCCGCGAAACCGATCCAAACAGATTTTCACACCAGTGCCGCCCTCATTTTGCAGACGTGTACAACCCGACGCGAGAATCGAGCACCGCGCGACAGGTTTGCTCTTTTGCAAGGCGGGGCTGGGGGCGCGGTGACAACGATTAAATGCCCCTCAACTGCCCCCCCTGCCCCCACCAATGGCAATTCGATACATTTTCTGTGATTCAGGTCTATGATTCCGTTCAAGAAATCGATTGTTTTTTTGTTGTATTATTTTCGACGTTTGTATTGGGGGTTGTTGTTGTTGTTTCATCGGTCTCCCTTGCACGGCCATGCACTGTACGCAGCATCGCCAGAAATGTAACATCCGTGGCGCCGTACGCACGCAGTTTACGCGGGCGGGAAAAACACGGACTGTTGAGAACGTGACCGTAAATACGTATCGCGAGTCCCAATCGATGAACCCCACGTATCGCGAGTCCCAATCGATGAACCCCACGCGTCGTTAAACCCCTTAATAACAATTACATAATCGGCGAACTGCACCGCCTGCCTTCGTGCCCCCCCCCCGCCCATAGGGCGCGTTTACGCTGGGTGCGCAGTGACAGCTGCCTCGCGTTAAAGGTTTCACAAAGTGCCCAGGTGCACCTCTTGGGCCCTAAGTGAACTAAACAGATCGGCTGATTGAGAATATTACGGCGGCGGTTAAACATTCCGAGGGCTTATAATTAGCCTGACGCTCCGAGTTGTGAAATGGCATTTCAGCCAAAAGGTTAATAAGGTCCTTTGAACTATCGTGTGTCGCTCCGCTCCTCGCGAGGCCGAGAGGGCCCCAATAATTTGCGGGCTGAGCGAGGGCGCGCTCTGGCCACGGGGAATGCGGAGCGCAGAGAGCGTGGAGATTACGAAAAAACTACGCAGAATGTTAATGAGGAAACTTAGCCGCTTCCCCTTCAGTAAGCGGCCGGTTAATGAGACGCAGATTTGGCCAGTATCCCGCTAGCTTTGCGCCGCAAGATGCCAGCGGAGTGTGCGGAAAGCCACAAGCTCAACTCTGCCTTAGGGCTGAGCAAAAACAGCCTCCACATGACTTCACGGCAACTTCTTATTTGCGGGGGGGGAGTAAAAAAAAACGCGGGCCTTGTTTTCGTTGCCTGCGAGGTCGACGCTCTGCGTGCCGGCGGGCGCGCGGCGGCGAGCGATGCCCTCCCCTGGACTCTCCGGTTAAATTCGCCGCTGTCAACGAGCTGCGCCCATCGGCGGCACGCGCGGCGTCGCAAAAGCGCGCCAGATATCGCTATTGCTACGATTACGATGGTTCGCCGTACGTTCGTGCGTGCTCTATTTGAACGCGTAGTCATCACGCACTGTATATATATACGTGTGACGACTAACATATCGGCGCAAAGGGGGGGGGGCAGACTCATGAGAGTCCAGGATTCATAGGGTTCAGGGTTACTGTCTGAGGGTCTAAAAGCCTGAGGCACATTAAGGGTCTTTAGTGTTCAATGCCAATGACCGTGTCTCCCGGGGGCATGCTCAAAGAGTCGCAATGCATGTAGGAACCCATGCAGTATCATTTTGTCAGGCTCACACGTATCCACGTTGGTTCTCACAGCATGGCCAACGATGCCACACCGCTCACCCAAACTTCTTCAAGTGTGGGCCGTACGTCACCATGTGACTTGGCGCTCTTCAGCTGTGGAAATGCGCGGCTTGTTTACTTCGAGTCTCATTTTCCCAGAACGAGCCAATTTATTTCTCCTCAGAGGTCCAGCCAATCCTGATCGCCTATATACATACGTACGAATATATATTTTGGAGGTTGACCTGGACTTGACCCATGATCTCAGCGGTGCTGACTCAGTGCTCTAGACCCGGCCATTATGAGCCCCGTGGGAGACGCCCATCCTCATCCCACTCTTGTGTCTTAAACGCGTTTGACGTTCGGGGCACTGTGCGGTTTAATAGACGGCACCGCGGTAATGCGATACAAGACATTCTGATGGAAGGTGCAATCAATAGCCACGGCACGCGTCAACAAATTGACTGCAGTATCATTTGACGTAAATACAGATCGCGTTTTAAACTACATACAACCACATAGGCACTAGGGTTGTAGCTATGCATTGATTAAAGCAAATTCTCATACGATGCAAGCATAGAATCACGTGTGCAAGGATCGATTATCTTCCTTCTATTGGATGTTCTATCTCAGTGCCTCGCAAACTGGTGTACCGCGATCGGCACACTGGTGCGGTGCGGAAAAAGTCCCCGATGTGCTGTGATATTTTCAGAAAGAACATAATTGTTCGCGAGCCGGGACGGGCGAACTCTCCTTGCAGTTCAGTGGCCGATCCAGCTCCCAGCTCCCAGCTCCCCCAGCAGCTCCCAGCTCCCAGCCCCCCCAGCTCCCAGCCCCCCCAGCTCCCAGCCCCCAGCTCCCCCAACTCCCAGCTCCCAGCCCTCCAGCTCCCAGCCCCCCAGCTCCCAGCCCTCAGCTCCCAGCTCCCAGCCCCCCCCCAGCTCCTAGCTCCCAGCTCCCCCAACTCCCCCAGGCCCCAGCTCCCCCAGCTCCCCCAGCCCCCCAGCTCCCCCAGCTCTCCCAGCTGCCAACCCCCAGCTCCCAGCTCCCAGCCCCCAGCTCCCAGCCCCCCAGCTCCCAGCTCCCAGATCCCAGCTCCCAGCTCCCAGCTCCCCCAACTCCCCCAGCTCCCAGCCCCCCAGCTCCCAGCTCCCCCAGCTCCCAGCTCCCCCAACTCCCCCAACTCCCCCAGCCCCCAGCTCCCCCAGCTCCCCCAGCTCCCCCAGCTGCCAACCCCCAGCTCCCAGCTCCCAGCCCCCAGCTCCCAGCCCCCCAGCTCCCAGCTCCCAGATCCCAGCTCCCAGCTCCCCCAACTCCCACAACTCCCCCAACTCCCAGCCACCCCAGCTCCCAGCCCCCCCAGCTCCCAGCCCCCCCAGCTCCCAGCTCCCCCAGGTCCCCCAGCTCCCCCAGGTTCCCCAGGTCCCCCAGCTCCCCCAGGTCCCAGCTCCCAGCCCCCCCAGCTCCCAGCCCCCCCAGCTCCCAGCCCCCCCAACTCCTAGCCCCCCCAGCTCCCAGCCCCCCCAACTCCCAGCCCCCCCAGCTCCCAGCTCCCCCAGGTTCCCCAGCTCCCAGCCCCCCCAGCTCCCAGCTCCCCCAGCTCCCAGCTCCCCCAACTCCCAGCCCCCCCAACTCCCAGCCCCCCCAGCTCCCAGCCCCCCCAGCTCCCAGCCCCCCCAGCTCCCAGCTCCCCCAGGGTCCCCAGGTCCCCCAGCTCCCCCAGGTCCCAGCTCCCCCAGCTCCCAGCTCCCCCAACTCCCAGCACTCCCCAGCTCCCAGCCCCCCCAGCTCCCAGCCCCCCCAGCTCCCAGCCCCCCCAGCTCCCAGCTCCCCCAGGGTCCCCAGGTCCCCCAGGTCCCAGCTCCCCCAGCTCTCCCAGCTCCCCCAACTCCCAGCTCCCCCAGCTCCCCGCCCCCCCAGCTCCCAGTTCCCAGCCCCCCCAGCTCCCAGCTCCCAGTTCCCAGCTCCCAGCCCCCAGCTCCCCGCCCCCCCAGCTCCCCCAGCTCCCAGCGCCCCCAACTCTCACAGCTCCCAGCTCTCCCAGCTCTCAGCTCCCCCAGCCCCCACCTTCCACTCTCCACAGATTGCGGCTAGGCCTCGGCAAGGTAAGGTAATTTACCCTTTTTACTGGGTAAAAGGGTAAAGGTGTCGACATGCCAAGGGGTAGGGTAAAGGTAGTGCGAAGTATTACCCGGTAAATACTGGTGCCTTGTTTACCGCTGGAAGCTCCGTCGGTGCAGTCCGTGACCTCCATTTAATAATTAATATTTTTAAAAACTTTATTAAAAACATGCTTTTATGAAATGTACTCGTAATGGCAGAACTCCACGACTCCAGGAAGTGGCCCCGAAGTTTGCCATTACGTAAGGGACCGTGGTGATTTACAGCCAACGTCAGTTGAGCGTGGACAATTAGAGCTAAGCCGAAACATAACATATAAAAAAGATCGTTTAAAAATATGTATTTTTATTGTGATTTAATATAGTATTGTCACCATTATGACATACGTATACCAAATTTGCAGTCGATACCACATTAGGAAGTGGGTAAAAATTGAGTTACAAGATTTGAGGATACGACAGCGACGACAACAACGACAACAATGACAACAACGACAACAACAATAACGACAACAGACAGTGAGTTCAAAGAAAGCGTGTAAAATTGGAATCATCGAGAGTATTCTATGTGAATAAAGTGCTCTACCTCGCATTTACTATTATAAACCTTGTTCATGTGTAGTAGTACCCCAGTAATTACCCTGTAATCGGGTAATTTGCAAGGGGTAAGGGTAAAAGGTAGGCTCGTTGCTTTTTACCTTTTACCAGAGGTGGGACAAAGTCATTGTTATGCAAGTCCAAGTCGAGTCTCAAGTCATCAAATTCATGACTCGAGTCTGACTCGAGTCCAAGTCACATGACTCGAGTCCACACCTCTGCCTTTTACCTTACCTGCTAAAGGGTAAAAGATAAGGGTAGAGTGATTGTATTGTGGTAAGGTAAAAGGTAGGGTAAAGGTACGCTCGTTGTTTTTACCTTTTAACTTTTACCTTACCTTGCCGAGGCCTAGTTGCGGCGCAGTATGGCAGAGACAGCCATCAAACACCCCAGGCCTCCGGCCCTCTGCCCAACTGCATTTGTTTTTGGTTCGGTGTGCCGCATAGATCGAGCGCGCCCGAAAGTGTGCCATGGAACTAAAAATACTGAGAGGCACCGCTCTATCTGATCACGTCACGCGGCTTCTGACAGCCACCAGAGGTGCTGCAATGCACCATTAAAATTATGATATTAATAAAAAAGGAATTAATTCCTGAATGACCCCCAAAGTGTGACAATGCATTGCATAAATAGGCAGGAGGCAAATCGTTACATAAGAATAAAAATTCTGATTTATTTACAAATCTAATATGCACCATGTGTAGAGATCCCCCCCCCCCACCACCACACACACAGCGAGTTGGAATTCCACTCGCATAGCTCCAAACGAGTAAAAAAAGTAAAAAAAAACACACAGGCTCTGGGCACAGACAGCAAGGGCCTCTCTCTAAACCTCACGACCAATCGGCAGGGCCGCTTCAGAAGTGCCCCACGACTCTTCCCCGGGCGGGCAGCGAAGACCGACGCCACTCCACGCAAAACCAAGACAACCCCCGAGGGGCGGACCACCGTTCCGCGTGCCCCACGCCACAGTTCCCCACGCCGCCCCGACCCCGGCACCTCCCCACACCCGATTAACGAACCCCGGCGGTAAGGACGCGATGGTCAGTGCCATGGTCAGGGGCGTGGCGGTGGCGAGATGTTAACCACCTCGCCTGGAGTACAGGAGGTCGTGGGTTCGATCCCGACCCTGACGCCTGTGTATTTGAGGTTTGCATCTCTCTCTCCCAGTGGTCGTGTGGATTTTTCTCCGGGTCCTCCGGTTTTTCCCTCCACATTTAAAAACAAGTGTGTAGAGTATTTGGCTGCTGTAAATTTCCACGAGAAAAGCCACTTTGTTGAGCTATTATTGGTGGCCATGTCGTTTCTGAAAAAGACCAATATAACTCAGTGGGTCTTACCTGGTAAAATAAAAAAAAAGTTTAGTTTAAAAAAAAATCGTTTAGCTCTCAGTGTCATGGTCATGCCATGGTGAGCGAGTTTTATAAAGCCACTCGGATCATGCCACCTGCACGCTGACCTACTCGAGTGTAACTAAACTCTCTTTGCCACTCAGGAGAAATGCCACTCTAGCCAAAAATGTATTCTCGAGAGACATTTAGGAGTTCGGTTCCATAGAACTGTCAATGGCTCCCTGATAGTCATTTGGATTTAAATTATGTTTTGAAATGTCATCAAAACATTTTCAACTAAGAGAGGGATAATAATTGTTGTTCTGCCTCATGGCAGGGGTTTTGCCTCACGGCAGATGGGGGGTGGGGGGGCGTATGTACACAGGAATTTCCTGTTTTTGATGCTAATTTTGGTCACGTGACCAGGAAGTTGCGATTTAAGATTCCCGCTCAACCACGCGGGCGTCGGCCATTACACACATAATTCAAGATGGCGGCACACATCCCATCCCAGTGAAGCCAGCCGCAGTTGTCCATTGTGGGACTTTAAGAAGCATTGTCTGTAAGTTCGTTTATGTTCTTATAATATTGGCAATGCTGTTATGTTAGAATGACCGTTATAATTATGCAAATGCATTTATAATGCTGTTAAATTGTTATGATAAATACGAGGCCTAGTTAACAACGAAGCCTGCAACTTTCCTTATTGTGAATGTTACTTGTAATTTAATAAGTCGAGTCAAACTTGTACCCAAGTAACTATATTGCAATCCTGAGAGCAAGGATGACGAAATATCTCATCCACAATTTAGTGTTGTGTAATACTGTACATTTGGGGTGCAGTGTGATGAATACATGATGTGCCTTTATGTAACACAGCAGCTTATGCTCTTGTATAGTTATTAAGTGGAAATGTAGGGGCCTGGTCCATCCAGGATCTATTGTTATCTAAGACAATGTTATGATGCTGTGGTGTTCATTCATTGTGTTGGTGTTTCCGGGTATTAACAGATGCTGTATCTGTGCTGTTTTCTTACAAGTTTTAGC